AAGGACATATTATTATGCACCTTTGAAAACATAGGCAGACATCACATATCAGCTTAGCATGCAGCAATCATTAGTCACTCTGCATAATCACCTCGACCTATTTCTTTTTTTTCCTTTCATAGTGTCACATTTGAAAATACTGTCTAGAGCCAGTTGGGCTCACACAGACTCATTAACCAGGAGCTGTCTGGCAGAGGGGTAGCACAGAGGCAAAGTTCATTGCGGGGTGCTCAGCATCAGAGCTGCAAGGCTGTGTTCCCAGGGAGGTGACAGCTGGAGGCTCTGCGTGCCAACATGCACAGGGGTCAGTTCCTGCTGCTTCCAAAGGTGTTGGGCAGCTGAGCACTTTGCTTCATCTGGAATTAAGGATCTGACAGGACATGGCCCAGCAGAAGAGCCCTAATGACTCCACCACGCAGAAGGAGGGAAAGAGCCGAGAGGCCACACATCTCCATCCTGGAGATGTGGTCAGCATGGTCTTTGTCAGTGGGTGATTTTTAAAAGTGCAATGCACGTGCAAAGCAGCGGAATTTGTGGGCTCTGTGCACTGATTTTCCATCATCTCATGAGAGGCTGCTCTCAGTAGTCCCAGAGGGGCAGCTGTAGGATGACCATTCACCAGTGGCAAGATGTGCAGGTGATCTGCAAACTTTGCACTGAGGCTTGTTACTTCTGAGGTGTTTATTCTGCATGCCATATATCTGTTAAACTCCTGGAGGAGGCAGCCACAGATATGTAGATGAAGGAATTAGCATAGAATCTACAATACCTATTCTATTATTATACTATCAAAGCGCTTCATGGGCTCTAATGAATTCAACTCATGGCATCTCTGGGAGCTGGAAAATTGTTATTCATCCCAAGTTTGCAGAACACGAATTGAGCTCTGCAGTGCTAAGGCCCAAGTCAGAGGTGGGAGAGTGAGGCTGCTTTGCAGAGGAGCCAGGTGACTGTATGCCACTGAGGTCATGGGAGACACCGGTCACCACGCGGGGATCTGTGCCTTTGTCTCAGCTGGTGCCTTGTCTGCTGGCCCAGCTTTTGTATGTGAGCACATGTAAAATTCAGCAGTGCACTTATGCACGTAGGTGGAGCTGAATACTAAATTTCATGGGCTGATAACTTTCTAGAAAGCTTTTTCTTGTTCCTTAGCTCTGCAGAGCCTGCCTGAACGAAAGGCAAAGTGCAAAGCAGGATGCTGTGCCTTGACCAAGGAGAAGAGCAGAGTTCTGATGCTGCTGAAGGCTGATTCCTTTCTTGCTCACCTACACTTATTTGTGAAGCCTAGAAAGATTTGTAGGTCTCAAATCTACTTCTACTTTATAAAAGCAATCAAGAGAGCCATTACAAATTTGCTACACCTTTGTACAAACCGTCCTGTTCAACTAATGAGGTCAGGCTGCAAGCTGTTAGGAACTAGCACTGTACATCTTGCCTCTCCCCTCCGTATCAGCCTTCCTGCTTTTTGCTGGTGCCTAAGGAGCCAGAGGTACATGTGCTGTTATCCTCCAGTCAGGCTTCTATGCCTTATTGCAATGCTTGATGTGGAGCTGATGGTCACAAAGTGCATGCTTATGCTGCAATGCATGGGCTGCCAGAAACTGTTTCTCTCCCCGTGTAGGACTGTGAGTTCGTGGTTGAGTGGTTCATTTGGTGTATTTGAGGATAGTGTGGGTAGGATCTCACTTGGTTCTTGCTGTTTGTGAAGCTGTTTCCTTGTCTGGTTTTGACATGTCCTCACAGGACTGGGCTGTGTCAGTCTGCCCTGCATTTTTCTGCCTTCATTAGACCCCTGGGTACTGAGCACTGCTGCCTGTGCTCTTTTGCTATTCCTTTCTGTGGGGATTTGGGACAGAAGTGCTTTATGCTGCTGTCATCATCTTGTAAGGAACGAAGAAGAAATGCAGTGTATTCCCTAGATGCCAGGATAATCTTGACAGAATACTAATGAATCATCTTGTAATCAGGTAATTATTTCCCATGTAGCTGTCTAATTGCCATTCAGTAGCCCAGAATTCAGCCTCCAAGTAGCTAATATTTCCAAAGGAGAGCTTCAAGGAAAGAAACACGGTGGGCCATGACTCTTGGTGTAACTCCTCTGTCTTCCTTGAATCACTCGTGGGATTAATTTGGTCTGCCAGTTCTTTTAGGCTGCTGAACCACACCGCAGCCCTAATTATTGCAGGATTGGCAACAGGAAGAGAGTACAGCTCCACTGCTCAGTGTAATGGACGTAGTTGCTCTACTAGAGCTGTTAATGTGTTCCTAAGTACACCCATATGTTGGCTCCCTAGGAGCTCTTACTAACCTAGCACATTATGAGCCAACAAGCTTGGGCCATACTTGTGGAATCTTAAAAGGCAGTGATACATACTGGAGCATGCTGAATCTCTCCTTGGTAAGGGGAGATTTATGTGTAAGCCAGGGAAGACTGCACAGATAAAAACTGCAGTTTTTCTTCAAAGCTTACTTATTATTTGTACCTTAAGTGTGCTTTCACTCTTTTGCTAGCTAATCTGCTTCTGTTTTAGTTAAGTATCCCAATGTCTGTGCTGTGTGCATGCACTGTATGTGTGTACGAGTCCCAGTCTACAAATTTAGACTTGTTAGAAAATTTTGGAAGACAGGCAGGTACCTCAACACTAAACTCTTATGGTTCACAACAATAGGCTTTTGTGTGGGTATAGTTAAAGCAAGACAGGCCCTAATTTCTGTGGCTTTATTATTTATATTTACAGTGACGCTATTCCCATATGTGAAAGAAAGCAGTGTAGCCTGACACAAAGCTCTCTGCTGCTTGTGGGGCTGGTAATGTTATGTAGGTGTTTGGGGCTGTTGTTGACCATGTCCCACAGGATCTGTGTCAGAGCTGTACAACTAATCCTCAGTGCCAGGGTACATACGCCTGCCTTGATGCTGCCCATGGACACAATGTCAAGTTAATTCCTCCCATTTTTTGAAGCTGGGAAAACTGCGTGACCCTAACATCACAACCTGGGGTCAGATTCACCAGAATTGCAGCGATTTTCTCATGCTTTTCAGCTCTCAGCTGCACCCCGCTGCCTTGTATGTATTTACAGCCTGTCTGCACCATCAGCTTCATGTTATCTATTGAGATGTGTCCGGACCATCAGACCTTCGCCCATCCCAAATGGCCCTGCAAACACTCTAAGGACATGGAGTATGTTTGCTATCCCCTGGCTTGTTTTCTTTCCACTGCCTATCTTCATGGTGACAAAGGCTGCTGCTTGTGACCTCAGGAGGCTGAGATGGGCTTCCTTGTGCACTGTGCACAGCAGGAAAGGCATGCAAGGCCTCAGCACCCAGCTGCATGGAGCTGCTCTGCAGGGAAGCAGAGACCACATAAATAGCAGAGGCTCTCCAAGAATATGTGCTGAAAGAAAAGCAGCTAAAAATAGTCTGTAAGGGTAAATGCAAATCATCTGGAGAATAACTTGCAAAAAGTTCCTGCAAGAAAACCCTGCAAGAGGGAAGCCAGGATTCCCTCCTTCTGCTTGCCACCTTCCTTTACATCACTGCTGTTTGAAATCAGGAACAGAAGCCCTGCTGGGAAAGTGCATTTAACTCGTACTTTAGCCACATTACACATGATGCACACATGGATTTGTATGAGGAGTTCATTTTAAATTACTTACAGGCACAGGATGGTAACTCTGGGAGGAAAGAAGATTAAAGTATATCCCTGCTGAAAACACAAATCTTTGAACTGTTCGACTTCTCCCACTTTGAGAAGCACTCATCAACAAAATTAAGGGTCTGCGCATTTCCCCTGGTGCACAGATCTGAATGTTAGAAGTTCCAGAGCTAAACAAGGTTCAGTTATTGTTCATGTCATGTCATTTGCAGCAGCTCTAGGTGAAGCTGTTGCAGGAGTGACCATGGCAGTCTGATGGTACACCTCTGTCATGAATGAGGATGCCCAAATGTAGGCATCTTAAGGGATACACACTGTGATGGGAACTCATGTTATTTCAGCCTGAAGATAAACTTCAGCTGGTTTATGATTAACTAAGAGAAAAGGGCAGGGAACATTTTTAAATCGAAAGATATTGAAAAACACTGTCTACCCTAATTTGAGATGAGAAGTCATTACCAAAGTGTGATTCACAGGGGAAAAAAAATGTGTTTTATATATATATATAAAACATTTGTTAAATCAATCTGAATTCCAGAATGTAATTATTTTTATTCTTATCAATTTACCTGCAGAGACTAAGATAAGTGTTTAGTGAGAAAGCTGGAGTGTATTCAGCATCAGCTGTAACATACGAGCAATGGAAAAGGGGATCCTTAGATGCCAGCCCATTTCTTCTGGTTTGGTGCAGGATGCCATGAGCTGTGTGTTACACCACTAAGATATGGAATAACCACTGCCACAGTAAAAGCTTTCTGAAGAAAACAATAAATTCAAATGAGTAGGAGCCTGAGATGTCACCTGTGACTGGTTTGAGATGTGCAGGATGATATTATGTTTTCAGAGTGGAGGTTTGGCTTTGGCTGTGTTTTAGGCTTATGACTTCCTTTCTTCTGTTTATTTCTTGCTCTCCACAGAGAGGGTTTGGACTGTGAGATCTTTTGGATAGGGTCTGGGGATTTATGTGGAACTGCATGACCTGACTGCCCAGGATCTGTTTCCATAATGCAAAAGGTGATTCACATGCATTGCTGCATCGCATGCAGCAGCAGGTTGTGTGAATTCTCTGTATTTCCAGATGGCAGGAATTGTTCAACTGCAGGTCATGAAATTTTGGCATGACAGATTCTTTGAGTTGTTCAGAAATAACTGATCCTACTGCAGACTTGGGCAGCAAAGCTGAAGACACACTTCAGTCCTGCCATCGCTTCTGCGATCTGCTCTTCTGGCTAAGAGCAGGGTGGGAGGAACCGCGTTTGTTTTGCTTCAAAAGTAAGACAAAAGTAGCTACTTCCAGTTCCAGATAGAAAATGATTTGCTACACAAGCAGTATTTCAAACTGGAAGCACTGTGTGGAAGCTGAGCTGTACCTGCACCAAGGGGAGCAGTGCTGCTCCCAGCCCTGCTGTGCCCGCCGCGCTGGCTGCTCTGGCTGAAAGCTCCAGGAGGAATGCCTGAGCCCGGCGAGAGCACAGGCTTTGCAGTCTGCCCCGGGTTTCTTGGCAACGATGCACTGTGAGAGCCTCATCGGCACGGCACAGTGCAGTTCCAGCTCTGGCTTCATGTCCCTTTGAGCTAAGGCAAGGGAGAAACGCGGCTATTGCTCACAGACTGGAGACCCTGCGGTATCCTACGGAGATTTCCACAGCCCTTCTCAGTAAGTATAGCTTTAAGAAATGATTAATTGTCTTCCCCAGAGGTTTTTTTTTTTTTGTTAAGGAAGTTGTAGATCAGGGCAGTAAATCATGCTAAAAGACAAAGCTAAAATACACAGAATTCTGCTTTCAGTCAGCGTGAAACTGCTCCAACTAGCCATTAATGGGAAGGGGGGAGATTGAAGGAGATGAGTCTTAGCAGATCTTGCAGAGTGGGAAAGCTGAGCCCAACCCTTCTCCCTTTGTCAGCTTTTTCTTTTCATTGTGTGTGTGTGCTGCCTACAGCAGAGCTGCCTGTAGGAGAGGGCTGGGGCAGCCTCCCAGAGCCATCCCTGCCTTTGATGGGCTCTGCACATCCCTTCCTGCACTGCTGATGCAACAGGGCAGCCCGACACTGCGGTGGGCGCTGAGCCCCTTTTGCACCCAGGACAGAAACCGTAGTACAGAGGTGTTGTTTCAAACATGAGATCTTAGCTGAGCTAGGGTGTACTTCCTAATTTCTCATGCAGAACTCAAACAAGCAGTGCACTCTGTTCCCCCTGAACTTTTCTGCTTTCTGAAGCATTTGTGCTTGCATTTAATGTGGGTAAAGTGACTGCAGAAACACCAGCCCTACAGAGGTTACCTCAACCCAGAAGAAAGATGACTTTTGTGGTTGTACTGTTGATTGAGCCGCCTGCATTTGTATGACATCAGGGAAAAAGCTGGTTTTCCTGTGCGCTGTAGCTGCCACTTTCAAAGAGAGTGCCCAGCCTTCAGTAGTGCCATGCTGTGCTTGTGATTGGAGCATGGGCCTTTCTGCATGCCGCTGGCTCAGGCAGCTCGCACTGCAGGTATGCACGCACTCCTGGCTGAAACATTTCTTGGCAGAGACGTGCACAGACTGCAGCACATCTTCAATAGAAGCATGCTTGTAGGAGTATGTGCTCACTGCAGGGCTTGCAGGCACAGCAGAGGGCTGGGCTGGCCATTCTCCCAGCTGTAAGATGCAGATGACATCCTTACAGTATTTTGCCCTAGTTTGCTGCCATACTTGTTCCCCAAAGGCTAGTTAGGTTTCCCAACCCACTTCTCCCACTTAGAGGAAAATGTTATATTTTAGTAATGGAGGAGGCTGTGCACAAGCATGGGGCAATGGGGCAAGACTCTCCTTGTCTATGCCCTGCTGAGTGCACTTGTGTTCGTTCACTGAGCATCACCTTGGGCAGCCCTTGCCTGGGCTGCCAGCTGTGTGTTTGGGCCTCTCTGTGTCTCCTCTTCATCTCCTCATCCTTCCTTTCTGTTCCTTCCTGTATTCTCCAGTAACGGTGCCACCTAATTAGGTCATGGATTGTTTCAGACTCAAAACCTTTCAGGAGGTTTTCCAATGGCTGCAGGTTTTGTTACTCGAAGCCACTTGTTCTGCTTGCCTGGCTTTCCTGCTTTGTGCCTCTCTTAACTGCTCCTCACACTGAAATATTTCTTATTCATGTGGCTGTGGCCGTAAAAGACATGTTAGCTCCGTAACAAGCTGCTTCTGCCTCCTCAGGGAGCTCCAAAAGAAGCCTTTTACTCTGAGATAACTCTGCATTTCTACATTCCCTACTGTTTTATTAATAGAGATATTTTCAAGAAAAGACATCTCTCACATGCAGCCTTCTGCAGCTTGGGCTGCTCCCCTGGCAGCGCTGTGGCTCTGAGCTCGGTGTCCTGCTGCCAGCAGGCAATGGGAGCCACGGCTGGGGCACGGTGCCCACCTTCTGTGAGCCCAGCCAAGTGAGGCCAGCAGTGTGCTGACACCTCAGAGTACTGCAGGTTGCATGAAACAAGCCTAATCTGAAGCCCGGTTGTCCCAGATTTTGCTGTTGCTAGGCTGGCGGATCTCGTTGAGTTGCCATAAGGTGTTATTTTTCCCTACAAACAAGTTCAGTTAGACCCTCAGGAGTAATTCCATAAGAGGTGCTGGTCACTGTAAGCAAGAACTGGATATCTGTAACCAAAAAGTGGGAAATGCCAGATGTCCCGATTCCATCTGCAGGCAGAAGGCAGGGCTGCCCAGCAGGCGGGGTGGGCTGGCACTGGGGGGACACTTTGCATGGGTGTTTGTGGCAGAATCCCGGCCCATGGCAGGCATTGGAACTCAGTGATCTTTAAGGTCCCTTCCAACCAAGGCCATTCTATGATTGTATGAAAGACAACAGACTGACTGACGCAAAATGTCTCCTAAGTCAAAGGAAGGTCTGTTATTGATGTCAGTAGGTTTGAGCCTGGGCTTTGGTAGAAACGCTCACTGATTTATTGCAGGGTGCTGCCTGTATCTGCTGAAGTGTATTTGGATATCAAAGGATCATTGCTTTTCCTAGAAGCAGCAGATAAAAAATAAGTTTCAGCTGAGGAGTTCTGTGATGTACGTTATTATGATTTAATCATAAAATGCTGCTATCACTCAGGAGGGAAAGACAGCCGGTCCTGGCAGAGCTGTTGCACTCTGCTCAGAGCAGTGCTGCACTGCTGCTGATCACTGCCCACAGCTCAGTCATTTGTCTGAGCACCAGTGAGCAAAAACACAGCTGAAGAATGGAGCACATCCTCTCTGCCACAGCAGGAAATTAATCATGTGAAATGCTCTCTCCCCATAGCGCCCATTGCCCAGGGAAAAGGAAGGAGCAAAACCAAACACACAACGGCAGTATTTCCTGGTTGCAAACAATTCTAGTGCTGTGCAGCATCCATCCTAGCAAGGTGCTTCGGCACAGCCCCAGTGGTGGCTGACTTGGTAAATCATAGTGCCCTACCTGAAAACAAGGAAAACCCAACGAAGCCTCTCCAGAAAACCTTAACAAGCAAAATGCACCATGCAGCCTGTAACAGAATTAGTTGTTTCTCTGGCTGAGACCCGCTTCTTGGAGAGAATCCCATGTCAATGTATTAGCAAAGCAAATTGTCCTATGAATAGTAATGAAGCCTGGTTTATGTTCCTTGTGACATGCAAGTGCAATAACCCAGGTCTCCCCACATCCCTTCTGGTGCTCTCAGTCTCAAAAAAAGAGCCTTTATTGGAATAAACTTGTAATATATGCAAAAACTACTGCAAAGATCCCAGAAGAAACCACAAACTGCAGGATGAAATCCTGACTGCTTCCAGTGAAGTACAAACAATAGCCCCATTTTACATCAGTTGTTATCACAGTTTGTATTTACCACAGTGATCTTTTGGGAATGTTTAAGACTGCATTTGTAACCTAGTGAAATGGCCACCAGAATCAGATTCAAAATCCTCGTGTTTCTTGCTGCTAGGATTCACAGAGAGGTCGCTTTGGTGTTGATGGATTCATGTGGCCACATCCTCCCTCCTTGCTGCTGCCACTTTGACTTTGAAAAATAACTGCAGAAGAAATGATTTTAGTAAAGACATCTCCGTTCATAATGTCTTTGTGGCTATGGAGCCAGACTTCCCTATCTCACCAACTCTTGGGTTAATCTATCCAATTCAGAGTTGAATTACACTGTGAATAATTCCAGATTAACTAAACTGCACTCTTTAGACTGTTCTGGTTAGAAGAATATTCGCATGAACTGGGAGAGGAGTGAAACAAGGCGGTAGGACAGACACCGTGCAGGTGGTCAGGCAGGGCATGGTGCTTCTGTGCCAAAGCAGGCAGTCTGACCAAAAGGGCTGGAGAAGCCCAGGCTAATTTCCCAGCAGAAACTAAAAATAAATTGCATTTGTCATTGTGAGCATTCGCACTTATTAATAGCCACAATTAAAAAAAGCCCTCTGAGTCCATCTGTTACAGTTTCTGATTCAGGCATTGGGTGTTCAGTGTCCTCTGTAAGATTTAAACACCTCTGCCTTGGAAGAGGTGTTCCAGCTGATTTTAAATGGTGACAGAGTTTCTCTGGATTTTCTTAAAATCGCTTCACAGTCCAGCTCAGTAACTCGGGACCAAATTCTCTTTGCTACAGCACTGTCTGAGCAACAAATATGAGCAACAAATCAGGCTGTACATCACCATGTTAGGAGCACAGCCCCCCGTTATGTGGAGTGGGGGGCATGAAGTAGAGGTTGCATACGCAGTGAGTGATTGGTAACTCACAGCTCCTGGATTGCTGCTTTGCAGGGGGCTAGCGAGGAGATACAAGAATTATGCACTGGAAGATCTGTAAGGGAAACAGTCTTTAGGTTTTTCAGTCTGATCACAAGATATCACAGTTGTGGGACACAAATCTAGATGATGGTGTGAACGTCCTCAGCACCATGCAAGTGGCAGTTTGGACACCAGGCTGAGGGAAGCTCTCTGTGCCCCATCCGTGTGCTGGCGGAGGCAGAGCGCAGTGCTGCCAGGACCTGCCTTGTTGCAGACAGCAGAAGCATTCGAGGGCGAGCACCTCTTATCAGTAGTTCCCATGCTAGTGGCCGGCTTGTCCCAGTGACTGACAGCTGTGATAATGAGGTTATTGTGAGGAGGCAGTCAGTGCACAGAAATGTTTTTATGTCTTGTGGTCTGGGATCTTTGTGTCCCGAGTGAGGCTCTGGCTCTAGTTGGCTGAGCCCGAGCAAAGGGCAGAGCACGGAATCCCTGGACAAGGACAACCTGGGTTGCTTTCTTGTCTCTGTATTAGATGGCCTGTTTCCCACAGCACTTGTGGAGCAGCTTGATGTGGTATCCGGACTGAGTTTTATGTCTGTTCTTATGTATTACCTGTGCTGTAGAAATACCCAGGGAGCAAGTCCCACTAATCCCATTCACCTGGGCAATACATTCAGGAGGCTTTAGCTTCCAAATTTCGGTGGAACAGGTAAGGCTGTACTGGTGTGTCTGTCTGGTAAGGTGAAGCAGCTGGAAGAGTGAGGAAAATCAACTGTTCTGAGATGCTGGGTTTCCAAATAAACTCCTTTGCTGCTCTCTCTCTCAGTGATCACTGACCTGTAGTGACTTAGCCCCTGGTTTCCTGCTGCTCCATGTCACAGTACTGTGCTGTGCACTCAGGGAGCCTCGGCTCTGGGCAACGCCTTGATTTA